TGCCCGGGGTTCCGAAGCTACTGCTGCCAGAGCCTGTGGCCGGCGGTCTGGGAGCCGGGTGGTCGCGGACGACGGCGAGAGGGGAGCGCTTGCGGTGCGCCAGCCGCAGTCTAAGAGGCCGAGCCTCCTGCGGCCCTCCTGCCCGGGACGGCCCTGCGCGACAGCCTGCCCGGTCCCCTGCGCCGCCCCGGCCCCGGGGCGCTCCCAGGCGGTCCTTGGGCCTCCTGCGCCTGGACGTGGTCAGTCCGGGGGCCGACACGGCATCCTTTCTGTTCAGGGCGCGGCAGCCAGCCTCGTATGAAGACGGAGCGCGCTGGAGTGGAAGGCAACCCAGCATCCCCCAGCGGAGGTCCGGCCCTCCGAGAAGCGTGGTCACTCGGGTCAGTAAGTGTGGCCGTGGTCCGGACGTGGGGTGTACTCACCGTGAGGAGAACCTACCGGCCGCACTAGGCGATGCAGCGACTCCCCGTCTTACAGGGAGGAAACCGGCCCGGGAGAGCCGCTGGTGGGGCCGGCAGGCCTTCCTGAAACCCATCCGGACCCGCCAGAACTTGGCAGCGCCCTGGCATGAGTTTGAGACCCGCCCGGACAGGTAAAGAAGCGTTCAAGTGCACCTGCCTGGGCGCACCTCCAGGGCAGAGTCTCATCTAGACAGAGCCAGACTTAGCCCAGTCCAGGAGAGCGCCTCCCTAGAGAGTCAGCTCAGGACTCAGCCCTCCCAGGCATAGGGGTGCACCTGTGCGCAGGCGCAGGCCCGCTGGCTGCGGGGCCCAGGTCCTGGTCCTTTCCAGGTCGGGAAGTGCAGTCACCAATCCCCCCCATTTCAGAGCCAAAACTTCTGCATTGGGAGTTCTGGGAAGGGGGCTGGAGCCCAAGCACATGCCCCAGCCCCAAGGCGGGGGTGGGGGAGTGCAGTACCAAGGGACTGCTGGACTCCCGTGCAGCTGCTAGTTCCCCGAGGACACCGGCCAGGGCAGAGGCTGATCCACCAGGCCCAGGTGCAGGCGCGTGGACCGTCCCACAATGGAGGGGTGCTGGGGAGAGGCCTGAGCCACAGCCATGCCAGACTCCCAGGCACGGTCTGGTCTCCAGGCCACACGCCCACCCAGTGCCTCTGGGGAGAGCAGCTCTCCTGTGGGCACAGTTCGGGAAAGCCTGCGGCCGCTTGTTAGCTTCCAGGCCTCAGGTGGTGAGTGAGCGGGGAAAATGAGCTGAGCCTGGGAAGCCCTGGGCAGGTCCGACTCCCTGCCTCGGTTTCCCGGTTGCCCTACCCAACCCCCTCGAGTATGCCAGGATCCCAGAGGCTAATGCCACCAAGGGCTCTGGCCTTCTTTGTGCAGGGACCAGGTGTGGGAACCCGGGTGTGCAGAGAACCACGGGCAGCTGGGCGGTTTCACTGCAGGCGCTTACCGAGTACCTCTGTCCGGGAGAACCGCGCAGTCCCTGATAAGGAATGGCCCCGTCTCCGGTCACGTGTGGTGGCTCCAGGGCACAGTGGGGAAGACGAGCCTTCAGCCTCGGAGCTCCCTTGCGCAGTGGCAGCACTGAATGTGTGCTGGTGAGGAAAGCACCCGCAGGTAGGATCCAGAGATACGGGAGGGTCTGCAGGTGTTTGCCCACCGGCAAAGAGCGCAGCCTCCCCGCCCAGGTGCAGAGCGCCTGGACAGAGCTGAGGGAAGCACCAGGTGTTCAGCACAGGTGACCCACGTTTGGCCAGGCGTAGGCGAGGAGGGCAGGCAGAATTGGTCTTGCCGAACCTGGTTCTCCTGGGTGCTCCTGGTTCTCCAGGCTGCTCTGTGGATGCTACTGGAATCCACTCGCGCCCACCTGGTGCTCTGCAGCTGCTCTCCGGAAGGCCTGTAAGCACCCTTGGACCCCTCCTCTACTCCCAAGGGGCCCCGCTCTTCAGCCTCCTTCCCTTCCTCTCTCCTCTCCTCCT